GACAGCCCCCCGATGGACCTCCCGGATGGCAGCCTACTGAAAGTGCAGCCAGGCTCTCAGCAACGCATCCAAGAGAAGCACCAGAGTGCCCAGGGGTGGCTCCGGCTCAATGTTGCAGAGTGCTGTGGTGTCCCGAGTGAGGGAAACTAGAGAACACAGAGACAAAATGCTTTGCTGTCCCTCATCAGGGTAGACAAGCAATCAGGGAAACCTGAGAACTGGCTGTCTGGGTGGGTCCTTTAAGCACAGACCTCAGGCAGCAGCCTCACACAGTAAGTCCTGACCTGGTGCCCTGCTGGAACTGGTTAACAGCCTGCCTTAAATGCGATTCAGAGTTCACTCAGTGTGGATGCTCTCTTTCGAAATAGCAAAATGCATTTTGTGTGTAGACACGTTATTTTGAAATAAGCTATTTCAAAATAACTATTTCAAAATAAGATATTTTGAAGTAACACTGTAGTGTAGACATACCCTTAAAGAATGTAGATTTTTTACATACTGCCCTTTGAACCCATTTTTCTACTGATTTCATCCCTAGTAAGTTCTACAGTACTTTTCCATAAGGCTTGTTAATAAAAGATCCTGAGAAACTGAAATGAGTAGGAATGACTCAAAAAGAAATTGGGGAGTTTTCAGAGGGAAATTGCAGGAAACCCAGCATGTATGTATATTATTGAAAACAAATACAGCTGAAGTGTGCATGTGTGGGAGGTGAAGTGGGGGTAGCATGAGGGAGAACACATGTAGCTGACCAGGGAAATATAGAAAGCAATAAAAGAGAAAAGCGCACAAGACATAAGTCAATAGGATCATGGCTAAGAGAGGGGATTCACAAATCTAAAAAATAAGCAGCTAAGACAATGATCATAGAGGCCAAAATTGAAAATGGAAAGATAATCGCAGAAGGTATGAGGACAAACAATAACAGATTTTACAGATATATCAGGACCAGGAGGTCAATGAAAGAGACTGAAGTCTCCGTATCTGACTGTGGAGGAACTTAGTGATATATGAGGCACAGATTGCTGGGAAGCAAAATGTTTTCTTTGCCTCAGTGTAATAACCAGAGGAAATGAGGGGGAAATACCAGAAAAAGAGAGAAATATCTTGGATGCAGAATATGAACAATTAATGAAACTAAGGGTGATACAAGAACAGGTAAAGCAAAGAAAGAGAAGGAAATAGGGCAACAATACAGATCTCATGGCCAATGTCCCAGGATTCTGAAAGAGAGAAGATGAGGGATTTTGTAATGCTCACTGAATATAAGATATGTTGCATAAAAAAGCCTCCGCTTGAGCTCACTAGATGTATATACATGAATTTTCTGAAGCTACACCAAACTGTAAGGTCTAAGGTTCTAAACTAACTTATGATCCTTGTCAATCTTTGCAATCTGTGTAACTCTCAAAGGGTATGTCTACACTACCACCCTACTTCGAACTAGGTAGTTCAGACTAGGAAGCCTGATGACAAGGAAGCCTAGTCTGAACTACCTAGTCTGTGCCGCGTGTAGCCGCACGGCACGGAGTCCGCACTAGCGGACATTTAAAAATGGCGGCGCCCGGCTTTATGCAAATGAATCCTGGGTAATTCGAATCCCGGGCTTCATTTGAAACTCCGGTTGCCTACATTACCACCCTAGTTCGAACTAGGGTGGTAGTGTAGACATACCCAAATTTACTGTAAACTGCAACTTTGTAATCTTTGTAACATGCAGCCACCTTGCTTGTAACTTTCCCTAAGCTGCATACTCCCCTGAGTGAATGGAGAAAGAGTGAGTGTGAAAGTGTGTTTGAAGAAGACTGGGAACAATGGAGCACATTACAATGAGTCATCACAGTATGGGCATGCTGCTTGATGGATAAAGGGAAGTCTGGGCATGCTCCCTGATGACAAGATGAATGAGTAACAGGAGCCATTCAGACACTATATAAAGAGAAGGAGCACATGTGAGACTCTCTCTTTTTCCTTCCCTGCTCCTAAGAAGCTCCTCTTCAGTGTCCCTCCTGACCAGCTTCCCCAGCCATGATGAGCAGACAGACCCTCCAGGATCCACATGCTTTGGCTCCTTTTGCAACCCATATGTCTGTGTAAGTGTGTGATTGCCTGAGGACAGGAATGAATGGGTGTGAATGAATGGAGGAGTGTGTGCTTACGTACATGCGTGCGTGTCTGTGTGTGAGAGAGAGAGCTCTATCTTCTTTAGCTTAAACCTTTGGTGGCTGCTTTCTCCTCTTTACTTTTACCTAGTGGAAATAAACCCATACTAGTGTAACCTTGGGTGGTCTCCAATGAGAATATTTTTAAGGTAACAAGATATACTTGAAAATTTTAGAAGAATCAATGAAAGACCATATTTTAAAGGGTTCAGAAGAAGAATGGCTATTATAGGCAGGGCCTTGGGCAAACGGGGTGGAACCGGGGCAGGGGCAGCCAGCCCACAGGTTTATCTGGAGTGTGCCTCACCCACCCAAGTCCTTAGAGCCACCCATAGCATGCAGCCTGGAGCTCCAGCTGCCACTACTACTGCAGTAGCAGCAGTGGCAGGGAGCCCCAGATTCCTTTAAATCATTGGACCTGGGGCAACTACTCTTTGCCCCACCTGTCAGCGGGCCTCATTGAAGACCTTTAGTGCTTAATATCCAAGCAAAGCTAAAATCAGATTCAAATATTAATCAGGAGCAAATATCTTGGATTCCTATAAACTGGTTTGTAGAAAGAAGTTGTCTGTATTGTCAGTCCTGCAGGGTACTGGGTATTATGGTCCCAATCCATCAAAATACTTAATACACACTTAACTTTTACCCCATAAGAAGTCCTGTTGAGTTCAATTTATTGCTCATGTGGCTCACCTGGATTAGGGCTAGAATAGCTAGCACGTGGCAGGATCAGGCACACTGAGCACACAGAAAAAAGACATATGTCTAGATTTACATGTCCAAAGATGCAGAGAGGAACCTACTAGGGTTTGCAAAAAGCACCTAATCAGGTAAGGTACCTAAATCCCCCTGTTTTCAATTGCAGGTTAGGTATCTATTGAGGAACTGGGTCTAGAAGAAATGTCATGAGTTCTTAGATGCCTTATGAAATGTAGTGTAAAAAAAAAAATACTGACAAGTTTGAAAATTGTAAATAGGATTATAATTAGCAATTGCCTTACCTTTACCCAATAATTGATTTCTAATGGGTCAATCACAATGGCTGTTAGTTGCCAAATCAAAACATTAAAAGAAATGTTGGTGTAGTTTGAGTAGGAATATATTCTTGGCTCCCTCCCGAGTGACTTCTAAGATAACTTGGTTTGGGTGAGAGGACTTTGCAAGTATTTAGCAGCCTTTTTTTTTTATTGAGGACAGCATAAAAAAAAAGAGGTGAGCAGTGCATTGCATTCTAAATGTGACAAAATTCAAGCACATTTTACCTTCGATGGCAGAGATTTGCACAAAAGAGGACCTTCTTAGGCCCTTCAACCTGAGTGTTTTACCTGAGAGCTGCTTGTTGAGAGTAATATTCTAAAAAGGTTATGAAACGAGAGAGATGGAGAGAAGCAGCTCACTGACAGCTTTAACAATAAAAATCAGAATCGTGATGATACTCACACTGAAGAAAAATATAAAACTACTACTATGAATGATATGGAGGATGAGTATGGGCAGAAACTTAAAGTCATCAGTTCAATGTCTATGCATAATTAGGGAAACAAATGATAAACTGGGATAAAGGAATACAGTTCAAATTAGAGGGGACCATTATGGCACCATACAGACCACATCCAGAGTATTGTGCACATCTGAAGTATTGAGCACCTATGTTCTGGAAGGTTATTGATAGGTATAAGTTGGTTACGAAAATGATAGATGTGTCTCAGTGGTTTATAACAGGATAGATACGAAAACTGTGAAAGCGCAGCTATTTTGATATGTATAAAGGGCTATAGGGAAGTTAGGATATCACAATACTCTTAATATCATGAAATAGGCTCAAGAACAATGTGGTTTGAGCTGAAGTTAAGTTCAGAGAATTAGGAAGTTCAAGTGAAACTTCTTTGTTCAGAGGATAATTAATGTGTATAACATCACTCAAGTAAAAAACAGTGACTGTACAATGGATACAAGAAATTATGGGGAAAATAGTAAGTTGGACAGATAGGTGGACAACTTTAAGAAAAGTAGTATAATCCTCCTCTGTCCTAAAATGTTGTTATGCCTACATATAAAGTGATCAGAAAACAAATGATACCCAACTTCAGATAAATCTGACTTTCAGCACTAGTGTGTTCAGAAAATATCATAGGCTTCTTATGGATATGTTTTAACTTGAATGTTTGAGACCTTCTAAAGTTAGTTCTGCCAATGTTTATGTTTATTTTGCTTTTTATGCACCTTCATGGCACATAATGAAGCAGTAAAGAGAATAATTGAAGAGCGAAATATTATCATTATTATTAATCTATGTTAGGGTCCAATTATACTCTTAGCTTCAAATTTTGCAGGAGCAAATCCCAATTGTAACTGATCAAAATCTCACTGAATAGTTTAAAGATAAGAAAGACTGTTTTCCCATTCATTGCAGTACTGATCAATAAATGCTAGGAAACAAAATATTTGCTATAAATTACAAAAACTGCATCCACCATGGAACAAAGTTCAACATGCTTCAGAGACAACTCAGTGGTGGGGGGGGGGGGGGGGGGGGGGGGGAAGCTGCCATTCTTCTTAGCTTTATAATTGCAGTTATGACCCTTGGGTGTAGCATTTCCAGACAGTTAATGACTGACTAGACAAGTGAGGGCTTGGAAGGGTCTTCTCCTTTGGCCATTATTGCCTAAGCAAAGTGGTGTTTTGCTTTTTCAAAAAATGTACATTTTAAGAAAAGCAATTAATGTAGTAAATAATTATAAAACCTGATGAAATGACACAATGCTTTGCACAATCTGACTTGCAGAGGAGAACTGCCAGACAATATAATAACATGAGTCTTTTTTTTTTTTCAAATAGTGTTTATGGCTGTCCTTTGGCAAAAAAAAGAAAAACACAAGATAAGCAACCTCAAGAACCTGCTCCCAAAAGAAAACCCTTTGTAGTTAAAACAGACAATTCCTCAGTAGATGAGTGTTATGAAACTGATGGAACAGAGGAGATGGATGAAAAGGAAGAGGAAGATGAGGAAGAGGAAGAGGAGGAAGAGTATTCTGAAGACAATGAAGAGCAAGGTGATGAAGAGGAGGAGGATGAAGAAATAGATCGAGAAGAGGAAGAGGAGATTGAAGAGGAAGAAGAAGAGGATGAAGAGGAAGCAGAAGATGTAGAGGAAGAGGAAGAGGAAGAAGAAGAGGAGGAGGAGGAAGAGGAAGAGGAGGAGGAAGAACGTGGTAATAATAAGAGTATTAGTAAAAAGTAAACATTGTATGTATTGTGTGAATCTTTCAGTGTGGTGTCCAGGTACTTAGCTGTGCAACTGTCATTAAAGCTAATGGAAGTTATGCAGCTAAATCGTCTTGTGCCTCACTGAAAATGTACCCCATAGTTGCTCTTTAACATCTATTTTAGTAAGACTGTCTTCCAAATATTTTTGATGCCACTAGCTGTCAAATTTTCAAATACAGAGGGGTGTGTATCAAAAAAATGCCTGCATAAATGTATAGCTAGATTAATGTGTGCAATTGCCATGTATGCCTGCAAAAACCAGGTAAAAGTACAAGCAAATGGCTAACTGCAAATTCCCTTTCTCATCATTTGCACGTGCATTTACTGAATCTGCCTATATAATAGTGGTGATTGCTCAGATAAGTGCTTTTACATGTTTGCAGGTGTTTTTTGGTTTTTTTTTTTTTTTTTTTTTTTTTTGGTGAGCACAATTGGATCTCTTTCCTTTGAAAATTTGGCCCTGAACTTACTTTCAGACAAACAATATCTGAATGAAATGTTATCAGATACTTTGGTTCTTTGAGACTTGGATGTTGTGTACTTTAGTTGATTTTATTGAAACTATGGAGAGTGACAGGTTTACACAAAGAAAGTCCTTCTAAAATTAAGTTTTCAGAATACAGAACAGTACATTTGATACCTTTCATCTATATAGAAATTAGTAGCCCTACTGATGTGATAGCACTGTGATTAATCCATTGACATTTCTGTTTACTGGGATTGTAGACCCCATGTAAGCATTTTTTCAAAATATCTGATCACGGTCTGCTTACCTCAGAATTCCTCCATTAATTACATTATAGTGTACTGGAGTGAAAATGAAGAATTGTGAAAAGATTATTGAGCTATCTAAAACATATTTTGTTCCCATTTCCAGGGAACACGTTTTTGGTTGGGTAGATTCCCCTTTCTAACAATAAAAATATAAGAAAAGCTCTGAGCACTCCTCAGTCGGATTCCTCTTAGGAGCCAGGTATGAAAGCTGTCTGACTTTTGTTTCAGCATTCTAGTAGGCCAGGTTTAGAAAAAGATTTAGGAAGTACTCTTTTCATTCAGGCAACTGCATAGCTATGAGCTTTTCTTTTTTTTTTTTTTTCAGATGCCTCAACCCACAGCATTTCCTCATTCACTTTCAATTTGCTTACCAAAACTCATAAGAATAAGGTAGCCAAACTTGAAAGTTCTGAACGAGTTTAATGCCAAAGGAGGTTGTTTCCTTATTCCGAGAGCTCTGATTTTTTAGCACCTGTAAGAATAGTTTATCTGAGCTTAGGCAGGCATGTGATTGCAACTGCTATTCTCTTGGATTGCATAGGGACTCTAGCAGTTTTTTCTTAAGAGGTAATGGCAACTGAACATCTTGGGAACAGGATGATAGTGGAACTATTACAAGGGTTTGGGGCTCAGGTGGAAAATAATGAATCTACATGATCAAAAATGATTGAAGGGGAAAAAAGACTCAGGAGCTAAAGAAACTTCCTTCTGCCAAGGTTGGTATTGGGTTTACTGGTACAAATATTACCAAACAAGGTGCTTTACTTATGTCCAGCACTGTTGCATGTACACTTAGTGATCCTAATCAACAACTTTAGCGGTTGGCATTGTTTCTTAGCTATTTTCTTTCTGTGAGTGGGCTCGAATTAAGAATTGTAATTTAGGAATTTTACAGAATTACCTATATTAGCTAAACATCATATTAGAGGAAATGAAAAGTCAAACAGGTCAGCTACCCAGAGGCTCTCATTTTACTTCAGGGATGATATGTAATTTCCTGGATAAAAGAAAAAGGAAAATCTGATTCTCTATAAAATACTGGGAATTCAGAAAAGAAAGTCTAATAAAATAGGGGGTTAACAATGGAATTATTCAGGGCAAATTAATTGTATGACCTTTTTGGAATCAGCATGTTATTATATAGGTGGTGACAGTTATAGCACAGCTGATTCATGCGATAGAGTTACCAGTGCCTAATGATGAAGATAATAAGGAATCCTTTTTCTCTAGGTCAAAGAGTCAGGAGGCCTAGATTTGAGATTATAGCTGTAGTTTGTTGGTATGGGAGGTCAAGAAGATATTTAATCAAACAGATTTTCGGGATAATTTATTTTATATGGTTTTTTACCAAGAACCTAAAATGTCTTCACCTTCCCTTATTCATAATACAGGACTATTTCATCATTTCCTTGAATTCCCTGCCTGTATTTTTAGAACTCACTGAAAATTAATCATTTAGGAGCATATTCTGGGAAAATCACAGTATGCACACAGCCAACATCATTACAATTAGGAACTAAGAGTAGAACTTCTAGTGGAGATAAAGGTGTTCTGCAGTTCTCAAAAAAGGTTTTGTCAGTGGTGCTGAAGTTTTATGGGATGATAGGAATTTTGCAAAGTCTCATAACCATACCTAATCTTAACGGATAGAACAATTAAAAACTTAGTTTTACTAGGAAAATTCTATCAGATGGGACTATGATTTCTGAGGCAACATATATGAGAAACATAAAGCAATGAGTTATATAATTTCCTAGGTCTAAATTAAGTTTCCTTTTATATGAGGGTAAATCCATACACACCTCAAAGAATTTATTAGAATGACTCTGCAGTCATGTAACAGGAAACTGAATTTAGGTTGCAATTTTCAAAGGGTTCTTAGTGATTTAGGTACATAATTCTCATTGAATGACAATTAGGCTTGGGTTCTAAAATCACAGAGGCCATTTAGAAAACCTCATGCTAGGGCTGAACCTTTGATATAATAAAGGACTTGAAAGACACAGAAGCATCCTAAAGCAACACTCTTACAAATCTCAAAATACCAATAAAAGAGAAACAAAGACTTTTTGCATCTAGATCCCATATCCTATGTTTGTATCTCTGTATATAGTCACTTGTATCGAAATTAATTCTTAAAACACCCTCTCAATGGCCACAACATTCATTAACCTTCCATTAAATGTAATGAATCTCTGAAAAACAGGGATATATATCCAATCAAAGAGTACCACAGGCCTGGAAAACTTTACATACAGTACTACCACTATTAAAGAAAAGACAGATCTTTCCAATTGTTTTCATATTCACCCCAAAAAAACAAAGCAGATAGATAACTCTTCTTAAGATAACCTAACCTGTAAACCTCAGTCCACATGGGAAGGCTATCAGTGAGATAGTAAGATAAATCCCACTTTTAGGGAGTGCCCCTCTTCTTTGATGGTTATTGCTAAAAATCTCTGGAGTCAAGTATTTAGGGCACATTTGCTTTGCAAGGTAAACAAAGGTGTTTCTCCTTCTGAGAGAGATCACTTCAGATAGCTGGTTCCCAAAGGCTGTTTCACAAAGCTTTTCTATTATAGAAAGAAATCTCCGTTGGAGGAGCTCCAGGAACGGATGTTCCAAGGCACCATTTAGCCTATATCACATGAAGACATTCAAGATGGCTTGTACTCCAGGTATTTCATAATCCCTCAGGGTCAGGAGGAGTCAGGCTGATTCTAGAGCTACGTAAATTTAATACGTTGATCAGGTCTAATCCATTTCGCGTGATCATGCTAAACAAGATTTATTATAGTTTACTGAAAGGTGAATGGTCAGGGTGAATAGATCTGATAAACAATCCCTTTCATATCCCATTAATTCCCTCAAATTCACAGTAGCATATACAGTATACCATATCATGGTTGCATAACTGCAAGATGCAGTTGCAGCATATTCAAGGAGACTGAATATAAATCTTTGTGTTACAGACTATTTCTGGGAAATACAGAGAGGAAATGTTTCATATTTTTCTCACTTCCACAAAATGAACTACTGTTTCTTAATACTCTGGTGAGATTTGGCCTATTCCCCAATAGGACACAGAGGTACATAAGTACTGTTGTCTAGAAATCCACCTACTAATTTGTAGTTTAACTCTGATAGAGGCCTTCTTTATCTTCCTGATCCCTTCATCAGATTGCTTCTGTGGCTGTCCCTATAAGCAAAAGGAAACACAAATACCAATCTAAAGATGAAAGAATCAAGTACTGAGGAAATTGTGGTAGAACACAGCTCCCCATTGTCCTTGCAACTTAAGAATCATTAAGTCTCTGGAACAATAAAATAAACAGGTCTGTACCAGAGAGATGGCTGGTCCGATCTACCTAGCATTATTCAAATTCATTTATTGAAACTATTAGCAGGAAAACAGTCACACATTTGGTGAACAATGTATAGCTCATGTGTACCATATATGCAAAACATCTAACCAAAGACATTATAGCCTTAAATGAAGAGGCAGGAAACAGCTGTTCACTGCTTTGAACAATAAAAGGAAAGGAATGAATTTTCCAGGGTCAGAGAGGATTTAATAAAAAGGAGAAGCAAACATTCAGAATGTGCTGGTAGACTCTATTATTCATGTATATTGCTCTATATTTTCACTTCCATTATAACAAAAGGTAGAGAATACTGTGATGGGGATATGTTGCCACCCACAGTATAATGGGGAAAAATACTAACAGCAGTGACCAGAAGACCTTACTTCAGTCCCTTGATTCATGTTTGTTGATACAAAATGTTAATATTGCCTTTCATCTCTAGTTTTCAGAGATGCAAAGGTATACAAGTGATCAGGTCATGCCGCTGTATAACAATTCATGATGTCTTTCTTTTTGTACTTGGTGTATAATTCCTACCAAACTAGACCTGTAGAAATGAGGAGATTACTCTGTGCTTTCATTTTTAGTAGTTTATATAATTTCAGATCTGGTCATAATTGCTCTTTCCCCAGGCAAATTAAACTGGAAATAATAATGTGAATTTTTTAGAAAGACAA